GAACTCTAAAGGAGATCTTTGGCTATCTTTTTTTTTTAATTGTTTATCACATCATTAGAGTTCAGTTAAAATTTTAAAATTAAAAAATATATCATTATCGATAAATTAAATAATTAAATAATTCGATAATATGCAACAACGACCATGAATTTTGAAGTGTTGATATCCATCCTTCAAGATTTGTGCAACCTTTGATGGCTTGGCATGCCTCCGTCTAGAAGAGGACTATAAACTCATGTTCATTTGGCCATATATAGTCTTAAAATTTGATTAATAATTCAACAAAATATATAATTTGATATTTTATTAAGAAAATTATAATTTAGATTAATAATCTACTCGGACATAGTAAAAAGAAAGACTAATACAAAATGAAAGACTAAGGGTTGGTTTGGGGTGTACTAAAAAAATGCACTTTTTGTCTTTTTACGAAAAGATGTGCAGAAAAGTAGAGAGGTGATGTGATGGAAAAAAGATAAAAAGATAAAAAGATAGATTATATAGTAGATGACAAACAAGGCTTAAAAAGAAATTCAAACTAATAAGTTAAATTGTAAAATTGATAAATTTTTGTTAATTCTTTCTAATAATTCTAAGCTAATCCAAATGAGGGATACAATAAATAAAAAATATATTAATAATCTTAGAATCTTACGGTTTGATAAGTCTAAAAATACAAAAGCTTGTTTAAGTTTGACTCAAAACATTAAGAATCAAATTTGAATAAATTTTAAAATTCATTAAAAATTTTAAATCAAACTTAAACAATTAGTTGTCCAGTTCGCTCGACTCGATTATCAGCCATATGGTTGAAGGAGTGACATGAAACTTTGATACAAATTTCATACATGTAAATAAAAAAAATAATAAAAAATTACACTATTAAACTAAAGGAGATGGTAAGGGGAGTCCTGTTTTTTTAAGGTGCAAACACAATCTAATCCATATAGGTACAAACACAATCTAATCGATATCTTCATTTAGATACGAATCTAGTTTCCAATCATGCGGATGAGCATGAGGACACCGTTTTTGACACCAAAGTCCTAAATGGAAGACTCGCCCATCATTCTCTACAGCACACAAAAATCTAGACATTAATAAGATTTAGATTTTTGTTTGAGGATAATTAAATAAGCATTTTTTTAATTAAAAAAATCAAAAATAAATAAGTTTATTTGGAATGAGCCTTTCATAAAATTAAAAAAAGAGTAGTTTTTAATAAAATTTTGAAAAACCGATTTTACTCTCAACATTTTCATAAATTTCACCATCTTCCCACAAGAACCTTTAAATATTATAAAAGTAATATGATAGGCTCTTTTTCGTTGTCTTTTCAAATTATGATTCCACCCTTATATTTCAATGAAAAAATGCTAGAAAATACTAAAAAGAGAGCACTAAGAGGAGCACTAATAATATGACAGTGGGCTCCGCCCACTTTCTATGTTTTGTTATTTTTATTTTTATTTTTTTATTGTCATTTTCAATGCATTAGTGTTATTAGTAGTATATTTTTTAGTGATCTAAATCATTGTTGTATTTTAATGCTATGTTTGGTTGCAATTTTCATAACAAAAATTCTTAAGACCTCTAATTAGAGGTGTCACTAGTGATGTGGCTGTGGGTCCCACCCACTGCCACTGTCAATGATGTATCTGTCTGTTTGTTTGTTTTTTTTTTCCTCTTCTATCTCATTATTTTTCCTCCTCTTCTACCTCATTAGAGGTGTGTTTAGAGCCTCTAAATTAGAGATCTCTAGCATCACTGTTTTCAAAATATGATTCTAAGCCCACGTTTGAAAATATATTTGGTAAACTAGAATTTTTGAATTTTGAACAATCCAAAAGGGCGGATTGGTTCTACCTGGACATCCTCTTGAACAATTTTTTATTTTTTTGGTTAGACGTCGGGGCGGTCGTCAGGTCGGTTGACCAGAACAGTTATTTTTTTTTATTTTTTTTGGCAGTTGCCACATGTTATTTTGAAAAAAAAAAAATTATATTTATTTTGATATTTTTTAAATATAGAAATTATTTTTTTAGACCAAAATGACAAATTATTTGGCCATTTATTTAAAATTAACAACAAAAATCTTAAATAAAAATTAATTTACCACAATAATTTTTAAAAAATAAATAAAATAAAATTTTAAACAAAACAATTAAAAAAATTCAATCAAAAGTAATTTTAAAGTACTAGCTGAATATTTTTTTAACAAAAAATAATATATATATATTTGCAATATTTTAAATAAAAAATATTTTCAAAAATTTTTGAATTTTTTAAATAAAAAAAATTATTTTTTCAATAATTATTTTTTTGAATTGAATTTTAAAAAGAGTTTGGTTATAAGCTTTAAATAGAATTTTCAATAGAGTTTTGAGTTGTGTGTTTGGTTATGAGTTATAAATTTTTGAATTAAGTTTTAAAACTCGTTTCAAAATTCATAACCAAACAATTTTTCTTATTTTAAAAATTCAAAACTCTTTTCAAAATTCATAACTAAATAAATTTTCTATGATTCAACAACTCACAAACTCAAAATACAACTTCATTTTCAAACCATGATCCTAAAACTAAACCAAGCACTTTACCATAATTTTTCACCTAAATACAAGTTTGGAAATAAAATCAAAAAAATAACAATTAGCAATTACTAAGCCTATCAACGTTTATAGATTCTTTTTTTTTTTCAAAAAACATAGTATTAAAAAACCAATTGTCAAACCTTATCTAAATTATATACACTCACATGATCTAAGTCTCATATGATAACATTTTACTCCCTCCATAAACCAAAGAGGCCAGTTAAAAAAAAATTTTCCCACACAAACTACTACAAACTCATCACTCTCAACATCAAAGATTGGCAGGCTGATATCCAAACATTCGGATCCGTAGGTGGGTCTTATAAGGGGTTCAATTAATTTGAATTAAAATTAATATAACGGTGATATTATAATATCATTGACGCATAATATCACTAATCAATAATAGATCACCATATAAACATAATAGTTACTAAATTACTATCTTAAATTAATAATTACATTTGAATAATAAAACTCACTTACATGTGAAATTTTATCGATAACATACTAGTTAATGACAGGGTTATCACCATAAATTTTTACTTGCTGCTTTTAACAAATAAAAAATAATATGTACTAAAAATTGAGAAGAAAAAAAATAAGAGCTTCAAAAAATCTCAAAAGTACACTTGCCGACAATGACATGGTTATCACCATGAATTTTTACTTGTTGCTTTTAACAAATAAAAAATAATATGTACTAAAAATTGAGAAGAAAAAAAAAATTGAGTATTTCAAAAAATTTCAAAAATAAACTTGCCCTAATGTAAATCGTAGTTAGAATAAATTTAACTCAAGTGGTGCTATTAACACCCCATCTATTATTTTGAACTCCCCATTTCTTTAGACCCCTATTTATAAATTTTAAAACCCTTAAAATTTTCTTTTCTCTTTCCAAATAATACCAAAATTATCATTGTAAAAACATTTCACTTATTCAATTGAATGCACAGCCCCCATCTTAAAAAAAATCTCTCTTTCAAAAATCTTAACAAAACCCACGAAGAAGAAGAAGAGTCAAGTGTAATTACTGTCTCTACCGCCTCATTCTTTTTTTCAGTTTAACCATTGTCACAGTTGGTATGCTCTCTCTCTCTCTCTCTCTCTCTTTGTGCGCACGCTGTCTCATCCTTTTCTTCAGTGATTAATATTCGATTACTTGTTTTCGAACAAATAATAAATGTTCAGTTACCGGTTCCCAAACAAATAAAAAAAATTTGGGCTTGTATTCTCGAATTCGATCATATGTTCGAGAATTCAATCCTGAAAAAATGACGAGCAAATTTTATTATTTTTATCATTTTTTTTAAGAAACCCCTATAAGACCAATATCTTTTGTGCTAAGAACACCATCAAAGTTATAAACCTCCTTTGAACTTTTATTGTTATACTCCACTCGTCTCATGGAGTTATGGTTACTGAAAAAACTTCCACTCATTATCATTGTTGAAAAAGTGTAAGTAATCAAATAGTTGCTACCGTTATTGCCGGAATATTGCCACGAAAGAGTTTTCAAAATTTTAAGGGTGGGTACATTTTGAAAGAGGGATTTAGGAAAGATAGATGGGTAGTGATAAAGGTAAGTATTCTCATAAATCCTAATTCATAATGTAGGGGGTGCGTGAATTTAATTGTGAGATGAGGTGTCCTAAAATTAATGATATCATTTTTAATAATTTTATTTGAGGTTATTATTTTAATAAAAAAGTTACAAATTGAGAGGTCTAAAATAATTCATAAAGTGCATATAATAGCACTCATTAATTCACGTTTGAAGTTTTAAACAATTTTCAAAGTATTTTTTCTTTTTAGAAAAATGCTAAAAACTCCAAATCCTTTAAAATCCTGGACCATAAATGGTTGATTTTAATTAACATAAGGTTCATATCTTAGCGTTCTCAAACTTCTTTTGGGGAATAAATAACAAATTTTGCTCCTTTTAATTGAAAAACAAAAAACAAAAAGTCGACAGCAATGATTGAAACCTCTATTATTTTAAGACCCCAATCCCTTTTGAATCTCCACCATTGATGATGTAGACCCCACACATATATAAATGAGTCTTACACATACATCAATAATAAAGATCCAAAGAGGATTGTAGAAGGTCCCCAAAAAATAAAGATCTTAAACATTTTTCAAAAGCCGAGCAGCATGATTGGCTGGGCAGGCACTTTCTATTCCTACGTTCAAATTATCTGGACATCTACATATAGATTTTACAAATCTTTAATCAAATCACATCACACAAAAATTTAGGATAAAGTTTTAAAGCACCTATGTATAAGCATTTGGTAATTAATACTATTCTCTTCTCTACTAAGCAAGTAGTATATTGGCTAACTTTTTCACCAAAATGGAATAGCTGAAGCAAATTGGGCACCAATCAGATTCTAACACGCAATCTAGTACCCCTCCTAAGTGCCAATCACTTTCATTATAATTTTAACATCAACGAAAAACAAGAGCTGTGTCATCAAGAGATCAAAATCAGCAGCTATAGGTGGTGGTCCATCCACTAAAAAGAATGAATAGTTGCTAAAATTATGGCCGTCAAACTTCAAATCTTCAAATCCCGATAATGACAGCCACGTGACTTCTTCATCGGATTCTCTATCCCGAAATTTCTGTCTAATGATTTTCTATCCCATTTTTGTGATGTTAATCTAGACCGAGTTCAATTCTAGAGGAGCATAAATTGCATGAAAGATCAAAGTTCAACAAAATGAATCCAATGGTCAAATTTATCTAGTATATAGTATGCTAGAAGGCTACAAAAGCATAGAATCCTCACTCAATAGTATATAGAGAGAGTCCGATGATGTTGGAGAGACGGGCACTGGACGCCAATAGACCATAACCAAAGATCTAAATCCACACTCAACACCTGGACAAAAAGCACAAGGAAATAGAGAAATGAAAATAGGATATAAGAGAAATTCATCTTGAAAAATAGATAACAAAACAAGAGAGACAAAAGAGCATGCGTAATTGGAGAATCATTAATGAGCAAAAACGATGCCAGCCAAACTGAGAAGATTGAAATGAAGTAAATTTGGGAAACAAATTATATTAGTATATGTTGTTCCCTTTCAAAGAAAAAATTAAGAAATGTAAAATGAGTTTTCATTTGCAAGACTGCCAAAGGAGCTTCATCCAAATCTGTCATTGAAGAGTTTTGATTTATTCAAGCTGCAGCACAACAAGATCATCAAAGCAAGAAGCCTCACATAGCTCATCAATTTCTAAGAGTGATTTCTAATTCTTGGCACATGTACGGGACTAATTCCTCTGTGAGTGTGTATTAATAATTAATAACTATAATCCAACATATTTTTGGACTTACAAGTGATCACATTTTAAAATTCCCTACTGAAATTGTTAAAAACAACAGAAAGACTTCTTTTTCTGTAAAAAATAACAGAAAGACTTCTTTTTCTTTTTTTTTCCAGGAGTCAATATAACTAAATTTCATTGAACTTTATTTGGGTTGGATTGCAAGCAACTGGGGACAAGAAAGCTTGAAGACCAGCACACTTTGGTTGCCAATTCCCTCAACGGCTAAGCTTTCAACTCTTAGACATAATAGGTTTCTTCAGGAAGATTTTCTAAATGCAGCTTGGCCGATTAACATGTTCCAAAAAAAATGACACAACAAAAAGAATTAATACTATATCTTACTGTATATTCCATCCATGCATCATTTATAGGTGCGGGTAAGATTTTCAAATTTCAAATTTAAATCAAAAGACAAAAAAGAAAAAAGAGAAAGAAAATTGCATATCTTAAGTCTTAATGGCTGCACCCGTGGCAGCCTCTGTCACACTGAGACCCCCCACACACGTGAGAGTGAGGCCTTGTGGTCCAGCCATAATGCTCTGAATTTAGCAATTTCCAAAAGATATTGAAAACCAGAACCACAATTAGGCTTAAAGAGACCATTTGGGCATCAGACTTGTTCTTTCAGACCTTTGGTTGTCAAACAAAGATCAGCAAATCCATCAAGTATATTAGATGAAGTCAGTCAAATATTATCACTCTCTCTCTCTTAAAGAGTTTTCATATGAGATTCAGTCAAACTATGCTAATACAAACTCAGAGAAAAAGGATTTCTTCCTGTTCGAAGGGGGGAAAAAATCATTTTTAAGTTAATTTCACTTTTATCCCCTAAACTAAACGAAACCAAGCCAAGCCTTAAGTCCCATCAAATGGGGTCGGCTACATGAATCTTTTTTCTCCACGCGGCTCTATCAAAGGCCATTTCGTTAGTCAAATTAATGCCTCGTCTGGCAACTTGAAATTTTATTTAAAAAGTCAAAAAAGTCACTATAAGTTCACTCTCTCTACTTTTTTGTACATCTTTTCGTAAAAAGTCAAAAAGTTACTAAAATAACATGTTCCCAAACCAAGCCTAAGTAGATTCATATATCTATTTACTACCTTAGCTAACGTCAATCTAGATCTATCCCGTCCCTTAACACTTTCACCTACCGTTATTGCATCACATCTCTTTCAGACCTTTTGGTTGTCAAACAAAGATCAGTAAATCCATCAAGTATATTAGATGAAGTCAGTCAAATATTATCTCTCTCTCACTCTCTCTCAAAGAGTTTTCATATGAGATTTAGGCTAAGTTTGGCATCCTCAAAAAAATCCAAAAAGTCAAAAAGTCACTATCCTATTTAAGTCACATCATCTTATTTAAGTCACATCACCTCTCTAACACATCACTTCAAACCCAACCCAAATCCAACCCATATTTCATAAAAAGTCAAAAAGTACACTTATTTAGTCTTCCCAAACTTGGCCTCAGTCAAACCATGCTAATACAAACTTAGAGAAAAAGGATTTTTTCCTATTTAAAGGGGGGAAAAAAATCATTTTTAAGTTAATTTCACTTTTATCCCCTAAACTAAACTAAACGAAACCAAACCTAGCCTTAAGTCCCATCAAATGAGGTCGGCTACATGAATCTTTCTTTTCCACGCGGCTCTATCAAATTAATGTCTTGTTTGGCAACTTGAAATTTTAGTTAAAAAGTCAAAAAGTTACTACAAGTTCACACTCTCTACTTTTTTGCATATATTTTCGTAAAAAGTCAAAAAATTACTAAAATAACATGTTCCCAAACCAAGCCTAAGTAGATTCATATCTTTATTTACTACGCTAGCCAACGTCAATCTAGATCTACCTTGTCCCTTAACACTTCCACCTACCGTCATTGTATCGCATCTCTTCACTACTGCCTCTGTTGGTCTCCGTTGAATATGACCAAACCATTTGAATCTATTCTCTCTCAACTTATCTTCTATCGGTGCTACTCCTACCCATTCCCGAATACTCATTCCTAATTCTGTTTTTTCTAATCTTGCCACACATCCACCTTAGCATCCTCATCTCAACAACACTCATCTTATCTACCTGTTGTTTCTTAATTGCCCAACATTCCGTCCCATACAACATCAATGGTGTAATAGCCGTTCTATAGAACTTTCCTTTTAGTCTAGTGGGTACTCATTTATCGCACAGTACCCCAGTCGCACTTCTCTACTTAAGCAACCCCGCCTTAATTCTATGGACCACATCTGCATCAATCTCTCCCGCCGTTGTGATACTCGATCCTAAATAACGAAAATGTTTACTCTTAGGTAATTCTTGGTTCTCAATCTTCACTTCTCCTCTACTTTCATTATTACTGCTACTAAATTTATATTCCATGTATTCTGTCTTAGTTCTGCTTATCCGAAATCCTTTAGATTCAAGTGTTTCTCTCCAAATCTCTAATTTTGTGTTAAATCCTTCTCTAGTCTCATCCACTAACATAATATCATTTGCAATAAACATACACCATGACACATCAACTTGAATATTTCTCATCAACTCATCCATAACTAAAGTAAAAAGATAAGGACTTAGGGTAGGTCCTTGGTGTAACCCTACAGTAATTGAAAATTCATTTGTCTCTCCAGCAAACGATCTGATAGTGGCCACCACCCCTTCATACATGTCCTTATCAATGTAACCTTTTGTCACCTTTTTCTTCTTTAACACCCACCAAATTATATCCCAAGGCACTCTATCATATGCTTTCTTAAGATCGATAAATACCATATGAATGTCTCTTTTCTATTCTCTATATTTTTCTATTACTCTCCTCAAAAGATAGATCGCTTCCATTATTGACCTACTAGGTATAAACCCAAATTGGTTCTCTGACACCGTTGTTATATCTCGCAATTGACATTCCATCACCTTCTCCCACACTTTCATTATATGACATATTAGCTTGATTCTTCTATAGTTATTGTAATTCTGGACATCTCCTTTATTCTTATAGATTGACACTAAAATACTCTTCCTCCACTCATCTGGTGTGATCCTAGTCAACAAAATCATGCTAAACAACCTAGTCAACCAAGCAACCCCCTTCTTACCCAAACACGTCCAAACTTCAATAGGGATATCATCGGATCCTAAAGCATTATTCGATTTCATCTTCTTAAGTGCAATCTTCACTTCAAAGTTCCTAATCCTGCAATAGAACCTATAGTCTTAGTTTTCTTTATTACTGGCTATTTCCTCCCCTATTAAGGTACCTCCATGTTCCTCATTTAACAGTTTCTCAAAATAGTTCTTCCACCTCTCCTTAATCTCCTCATCCTTCACCGATACCTTAGAATCCTCACTCATGATGCACTTAACTTGATTAAAATCTATTGTTTTCCTCTCCCTTGTCTTAGCAAGTTTGCATACCCTCTTCTCTCGCTCCTTACTATTTAGTCTAGTGTATAGGTCATCATAAGCTTCAACTTAGCTTCTCGCACTACTTTATTGACCTCCTTATTAGCCAATCTATAGCTCTTTAGGTTTTTCTCAGTTCTATCATTCTGTCATTTTTTAAAGCACTCTTTTTATCCCCTAAACTATCACCATCTTTTTTTTTTTTTGCATCCCTAAACTATCAATTTCATATATTTCGCCCCCTAAAGTTTCAGTTTTTAATTCATGTGGTCCAATTGGAGACGATTTTAAAAACCAGTAACTGTCGAAACCTAATTTGATGGGCAAAAAGGTCATTTCAAAATTTAAACAACTTAAATCATACAACTAAATGCTCAACAAACTACACCCTACAACCAATCTGATGGGTGTTTGACAAGTGTACCCAATTGGATCATATGAGCTGAAATCCAAAACTATAGAGACGAAATAGATGAAAATGATAATTTGTGGATGAAATAGAAAAAAAGGCAATAGTTTAGGGGATAAAAGTGAAATCAACCATCGTTTTAAATTTACAGCAAACAAGAACCATAACAACAGAACCACAAAGAAGTATACTGGCAACAGAGTCAAAAGTGGAAATTGCTCCAGATTAAGGGAAAAGATACCATACAAAAGATGGAGAACAGACCTGCTTTCCAAATTTTTTCCACACCAACTCCCTCATTTTCTCTACAGCATATACTGAGCATGCTCGTAGTTCCACTTCTTCCTCGCTGCCTGAATCAATTTCTCCTTCAGCCTCAATAGTGCCAGCTAGGGCTGAACTATATCTCAGCACACCAAGCTGCCGAAGCACTGCCGGAACTATATAGTCAGCAAATATGGTAATTGCCCCTTTGTCATTGAACTCTCCATATCCTTTTCCCTTGAATGCACCCAATAAATCTGCCGCAAATATCTGAGCTCTTTTATACAAGAATACCTGGTGGCCCTTGTAGACCGAATGGTCGCGGAAACCTATAATATTTGTATAATATTTACAGTTCATAAAAGTATTCCACAACATTTTTTGCCATAAAGCATATAACCAAATCAAATAATTTTCATGTTAATTAATATAAATTTAAATGAAATACGCAACAGCTAAAGATACCAGGAAAGTGACGAGTAACAAGAGTTACAAGCTTTACTGCTGATTTCCCACACGAGTCCACAAGATTGGATGCTTTCCCCTCAAAGTTTCTCTCCAGTTCAAGCCCAACCTGATTCATTTACATTAAATTACGCAAACAAATAATTTGTTTAGATAACCAGACAAACTGACAACAAGATTGACATAAAACCTGTGAAGACAGAATAAATACACAAGATGGGTATCAAAATCTGTAAAATGATACCTCATGCAATAAGCGAACTCGTTCATCCTCTAGAGGAAGTGGCCTTGGCCATTTCAACAATTTGCGTAATTCAGGACCTGATAACAAAAATCACAACAATCATTGCCACAGAGAGAGAGAGAGAGAATTTCTTTAATGACAGCAACCAGATTCCTGTTTATAAACATGACAGTTTGAGCAGGAAAATATGTCCATACAAAGAAGCTAGATTCATTTAAAGTGAACCAAAATTCAGCTTTCTACTAAAAAATAATAGCATGTTGCAATCAAGACAGGCCAAATTTGCATACTTAAAAAACTAATGCGAGTCCATCTGCATATGAAGCTACTATGCAATTAATATCCAATGTACTATGTTATGCTAGGAAAGTTGGAGAGAGAGAGAGAGAGAGAGAGAGAGAGAGCTCTTGATATTGGATGTACAAGCAAGTACATGTTTAAATGAACATTTTTTATTTAATATTTTTTTTGGATAAATTACATGTTGAAATGAACATTAAGGCCTTGTTTGGCAAAGGCTACAATTTGGCTTTTTACCTAAAATAGCTAATAAGACAAATGTCACATCAAACCCATAATCATTTCATTTTTTCTTTCACAAACATCACACCAAACTACAAAAAAATCCAATCATCTTCCCAAACACAAAAATTTTAGCCTACTAAAATATAGCCAAAAACTAAAATAGCCAACTAAAATAGCCAACTTCCCAAACAAGGCCTAAAAGGTCGAAGAAGCCAAAATACCAGTGTACTTTTGCAGACGATCAGCATCAAACACAGATTTGTCATTTTGAAGAGCTGCCTTTAGTCCCGAAGCCAAATGATCATAACTTAAATCCTTATCTGTTGTGAATAGACAATAAATTTTTTTAAAAAAATTAAGAAATTAAGAAAAAATAGTGAGAGAAAATTAGCACAACTGTCAACATCAAACACAAATTCTATATATAGATTACAATTTTTTCTAGTATCTTGAAACTGCACTGCAGTCAACTCAAGCACAAATGCCAAAGTTTGGCAAAGTTGCAATTAGAGATTTCAATAGATAACACAAACATAGAAAGCAAGCAAGAGGTGGCAACATGTTCAAATATGAATAGACAAAGTTGCATCCACTAAGCTTATACAAATGTGCACATCTTATGAGATTTCGATATTTGTGTCCAACAAAAGAACTTGGGTAATAACTTTAATTTCTTATCAATATTCAAGATAACCATCTCATAATATGCAATGAGGTAAGGCCATCCTCTTTGGACTTAGGAGCAGTAGTTTCCTGATAGAAATACACAACACAGGCACCAGGGACAAACAGGATGTCTATGTGAGAGATAGAGCAACACAACAAAGAGAGAGGGGCAGTAGAGCACCAAAAGTATAAAGCTCAAATCTAGAGATTTAGATATTTGTGTCCAACGAAAGAACTTGGGTAATAACTTAATTTCTTATCATATTCAAGATAACCATCTCATAATATGCAATGAGGTAAGGTCGTCCTCTTTGGACTTAGGGGCAGTAGTTTCCTGATAGAAATACACAACACAGGCACCAGGGACAAACAGGATGTCTAGGTGAGAGATAGAGCAACACAACAAAGATAATCATCTTATGAGATTTCGATATTTGTGTCCAACGAAAGAACTTGGGTCATAACTTAATTTCTTATCAATATTCAAGATAACCATCTCATAATATTCAATGAGGTAAGGCCATCCTCTTTGGACTTAGGAGCAGTAGTTTCCTGATAGAAATACACAACACAGGCACCAGGGACAAACAGGATGTCTAGGTGAGAGATAGAGTAACACAACAAAGAGAGAGAGAGAGGCAGTAGAGCACCAAAAGTATAAAGCTCAAATCTAGAGCTCAAGGATGACCTCTCAAAGAGTACTGTATCAAAAATCTTCCTGTAAAGAGGGCACCACCTTCTATCTATAGGAGGTAGGTCATGTGCCCTGTAACAACTTTCTGAAATTCCAGAATTTTGTATGTAAGGGATGTGTTGGAATATATCATTTTATTTGGATTCTTCTTGATCCCCAAGATCCCATATGTAAGCCCAGTGGCACAGACTCTTTCTCTGTAAGGCTGGCCTGAAAGAGTAACAAACCACCATGCATCACACCAAGCAACACCTCTATCTCTAGCCACCAAGCCACAAGATTCCAGAGTCCCGCTGTACCTTGCTAAAAGCTTCATCATACCTAAAACCTGCCTCTTGACTTAGGTACATAAATATGGCACGGTGCAGCAACCATAGTGCAATGAAACAACTGCAACATATGAAGCCATTTACCTTCGAGCTTTTGAGGACCCAAGCACGCAGTTAACTTAGGCGTGTTAGTCTAATGCCACTAAGGCCCCCAAAGATGTCACCTAGACATGTGTCCCATAAAGGTAGACACGCATAGACGGTCTTTCAGCTAACGTGTAAAGTACACATCATTGTCCACATGTACACAACACATTGTGGTTTAGGAGACATCTACACGGATGAAGAATGAAAGCTAGAAAGAATAATATTTCTTATTCCAATATATTAAACAATGTACACAGCACCTCTATTTATAGGACATACAAGGCATAAAATTAGGGACTGATTAGCTACTAATTCTGAGGACTGATTAGCTACTAATTAGCTATTAATTTGATTCTAAATATAAACTTTTCTATTCTATAATAATGACTAGATCTAAATATTTACAGCTGTGATATCCTAAAGAATTCAGACATATTCTGACAGAATTATTTTCTTCCCATTTCCAACAGAATTTTGAACTTTTTTGCAAAACTCCCAACCTTTGAATATAAACCACCAATTTTTACAATGATTATTTGTAATGAGGTGGAGACTGGAGAGGCATGAAGTGCCAACAAATAAGTAAGGTGTCTTTTAACCAAAGCATCGATGGACTATTGTGCCCAAATGTTCTTTATAGAAGTATTGCAGTGCTAATAAAGTGGCAATGTTCCAACCAAGTTTTGTAGTGCTTTTGTGTATGTGTTCTCATCATAGTTCCTAAGGCTGTGTTTAGTTCATGAATTTAAAGAAGAATTTGGAAAGAGAAAAGAAAAAGATAGGTAAAATATGAGTGAAATATAATTACATTTCACACACATTTTCCTTTTCTCCATTCAAATCCCTCTCCAAATCCATGAACGAATTGAAACGCTATGTCTTCCAATCATATTAATAAGCATAACATAAACAGGATTCTCACGCATAAGATTGCACCATATCTTGGTTGAGAACAAGGGTGTTTGAGTATACCATCATTATTGATATCAAACCAAGGGAAGATATATTCTTTTTTCTTTTCTTGAACTTATACTCCGTTTGGGAACCCACCAGAGGATAAAAGAAAATAAATGATTACTCAAGTTAGGGGAGAAAGTATAAGAAGAGAAAAGATAGTGTCAGATTGTTTCATATTATATTACCAAAATAATCTTTTATAGGTGTCAGGTCATTATTTATATTTTTTTCTATATCTAAAGAGGCAATTTTGGTATTATGAAAAATGCTGATTTTTTTTTTTTCTCTCACAATCTCAAAATTAGAATATATTAAAAAAATGATATCTTTCCATTTCTTTCTTATTTCACCCATTTCTGTCCTCCTCACTAATCCAAATAGGTGATATGAAAAAATTGAAATGCATTTCTTTTCTTTTCTTTTCTTTCTAAATCACCCAATCAAAGGATAGGGAAATAGATCGACAAATGCAATTCTTGTAGTGGCCAACAAAAATAGTAAAAGCTCCCATCAAAATAAATAAACAAAAGTACGGCAGGAATGGCCCCAAATAGTAGTCACCCCCCCCCCAACACACACATACACACACACAAAAGAAAGAAAAAAAATTTAAAAGAGAGAGAGAGAGAGAGAGTGAATGAGCATACATACCAGGCCAAAAACAAAAATTCAAAGCATCCAAGACAAACAAGTACTGAACAGTGAGAGGGCCATTATCAAAATAGTGAATCCCTTCAAAATCCCAGTCGACTTTTGGGATTGAGTCTTTGATGGTGTCCACAACTCTCTCAATTCCTGCACACACAACATCATCATTGACGAGAGAGAGAGAGAAGAGCTCATCTATATACTGACAGCATCGCTCCAATCCAATTCTTTATTAATTTTACATGAAATGAGTGTATAATCTGAGATAGACGGAGAGAGAGGGGACCTGAGGAGTCGACTGAGACGTGAGAAGAGCGAGAGGCGACCCAAGCGGTTGTAGCCCTAACGTCATCCATGGCGGCGAGGGAAACAAGCGAGTTCTACAGAGATTGTAGTGTAGTGTAGGGTTGTTGAAGGGGGTTGTGGACCACTGGTTCGTTTTTTCTCCGTATTCGAAGCATTTTTTGCTTCCCGCTTGCTTTGCTGTTTGTTTTTGTTGCTGTTGATGGTGCTGGTGGCTCCTTCCACAGTAACCACGTTGACCAGTCAAAAGTCACTGCATCCACCTGGATTGTGAGACGTTCCGTGCCAACACGTCTTTGGAGAGATTTCGGAAACAAAAATGTTGGCAGATTTTGGGTGACTTAGAGCAACTCCAATTGCATTTTTTACTTTTCAGTAGTTGAAGTATAAAAAAATAATAAAAAAAAAAAAAATTATTTTATTTAATTATTTTAATTATTGTATTTTTTAATCATATTTTTTATTTTAATTAATTATTTAAATTAACTTAATTAATTTTGAAAATAAAAAAATATTAATTATTGATATTTTACTAATATAAATTTGAAATAATAATAAATTTGCCTATACAAACATGCAAAACCTATAGAATGAGGAGAAAAAAAAATATAAAATACAAAATAAGTTATTTCGTAATTCATCAAACAGAACTGATAGAACATATAAAATTGTTACATATACACACACACATATATAATATATATAAAATCCCAAATCCAAAACATAAATATACAAAAATCTAAAATATATACATATATAAATTTTGGTAGAATTTTTAGAGCATTTAGGCCAAGTTTGGGGACTTAAAAAAAAGTCAAAAAGCCAAAAAGTTACTCAAAAAGTTAAAAAGTTAACACTATTCACCAAAAGTCAACAATTACGGCTGCACAACTCCCAATTCAAATTTTTCTTTACAAATCAATTTTTACAATTTTTTATTACACATTTTTCAATAAAAAGTCAAAAAGTTAACCCAAACATCTATATTTTCAACCTCAATTTTTTAGTCCAAAAAGACAAAAAGTGCACTTTTTTAGTCTTCCCAAACTTTGCCTTAGTATTACTCTTTGGGAAGTTAGCTAAAAATTAATTTTTTTGTTTTTTTTTTTTAAATTTTGGTAGAACTTTTAGAGCCTCTAGTATTACCTTTGGGAAGTTGGTTAAAAAGTGATTTTTTTTTTTTTATCCGTGTAAAATATATAAGAAGTGATGTGACTCAAAATTGATTAAAAGCTAACTTTTAGCTACCTTCCCAAATTGCCCTTTTATTGCGGGCCAAAAGAGAAAAAAATTATAGAATACTCCCGCATATTACTTTTCTATGGGGTAATTTAGAGTAATTCTATTTCCACATACCTAGTTACCTCAATGCACACACTTAATGAAATAGGATGATTCTACTTACACCACACTTTTAGCTCCTTACACCCTCTATCTCATTACACCACCAAAAAAAATAAAACTCTCATTACACCCCCATTATATTACCTATAGTAACCCTAAATTAACCCTTTCATCTCTTTACACCACTTACCTTTTGGAGGGAAACGAGAGAAGAAGCAGTAGTAATACGAAGCAGCAGCAAGACGACGGGTCCGACGTAGAGAAGGCGAGTGTTTCGGACGGCGGGAGGGATTTGAACGGCGTTGTGGTCTGTGTTATCGGCGTGGATGATTGACCTCATTCTTCTCATTCGCTCAAGGTAAGTGAAAAATTCTTCTCTCTCTATATATTGACAAATAGATATATGTATCTCTATCATCTATATCATAATTTTTTTTGAAAAAACAAAGAATAACCACATTCTGTGCCACATTGCTCGTGCGATAAACCGACACGAAACCAAACCCCAAACCCAAAACTTCATCATATATTCATGTACGTATATACAATTCTGAAATCAGTTGAAACCAGTAAATTCTCTCTCTTTCGCCGAAGAAAATGGCTTTGAATCTCTGCACCCAATTAAGTCCCCTAAGGTATCCATTTCTCCAATTTCTCCACTTTACATGTTTGTTTATGTATTAATATTTCTTCAGATAAACAACTGGACTTGATTAGTGTGCCATTTTATATTAGGAGAATTTTAAGCTCTGTTTTTGCCATTAATAGAATTGAAAGAAAAAGAAATGGAAATGGAATTTGGGGTTTTAAGGTTTTTGGGTTTTGGTTCAAACATGAAAAGTTCAATTCAATGTACTATTTAATGGGGAAAAGTAATAATAGTGGGATAGAAAATTAGCTTGTTATGTTGTTTTGTTACATTTTTTGACTAACCAGTAGAGCATTAGGATTTTCTTTTGTTTCTGTCAGAAGTATATAGTTCTCTTAAGTGGAGTTGCTGCATTGTCTTGGACAATTGAGAATTGTGTAATTTGTATTTGTGGTGTTACTTAGTCCTATTTCGTCAATTGTTGGTTTGTTGGGTGACATTAGAGCATCAAATTTGAGTGAAAATTTGGTTAAAAGCTTGATTTGATATGCAACATTCCAATCCTTACTAAAAAAAAATCATAAAATATTAAAATTTGTAACTTATCCTAAAATTTAGTGGTAGCATTGGGTTTGAGGGTGTAGTAGATGGGAGTAGGTGTGAGGAAATGGGTTGGGCTAGTGTTTTCATTGTGTTGTTGGGAGATAAGGTGAAGTGACCTAGGGGTTTCAAATACCTAGGGTTTGTTGCTTGTGATTTTTGTTTGAGAAGGTGACATATGAAACATTGTTCTACAGCAGACCCACATAGGTTTTGATGCATGAAGGGGACCAATGAATTTGGAAGATAACTGTGTTGTTAATTGTGATGGTTAGTAACTCCAGGCCTGTTTATATATATAGCTAATGAAAAATCTCAATTTGAGAACTAATCTGTAATCAATATGTAGCAATTTTTTATACCCATCAAATACTATTCATCTCTTGAACATATATGCTGTCTATATGTCTGAGAATGGAATTGGAAGGCGGCTTCATGCAAGACTATAATAAGCTTCTAGTCCTAATCAAGATAATCCTTCGTTTCAATTTCAGGGATTCTTCAAAATTTCTAAACTTTTGATTATATGTTGTCATGAAAGACAAAAAAGTGCCAATCTTGGCTAATAATAGTCATATTCTGGGCAACTATATCATTTTGACAATTTAATCATTAACCACCTAATTTAATGTGAACCATCCAATTTGATGAGTTGGTTCTTAAATTATGATGAGTTGGTTCTTAAATGTTTTGAATCCTATTCTTTTACCCAAAAAAATTATTTAACATACGGACTTTGGAGTAAGATATTTTTTTACTCTATGCACGTTAAATCAAATGAATGATGAATTACAAGAATTGAAAACTCTATTACAATTTCTTATCCTTCAATTTCTAGGCAACCAAACAAACTGGTTCATACAGAATACTATTATCAAGTAATCAAGAAGAGAACGAAAAACAGATAGGACTGAGAAATGAAAAAACGTTGACAGACTAAATATACAAGAAGATAAAACAAGAGGAAGTGACGGGATTTAAATATGTAGTGTTTGTTGTTTGTGATATTGCCTTTGAGAAGCTCTAAGAAGAGGCACAAATGAGCTGGCTTTGGACTGTCTGTTTTGTTATTCCACAACAAACGCACTTGGGTGTGATGTCATGAAGGTGAGTCGACGGCCAGTGAATTGGGAAGAATAAAGTAAAAAACACTAGGGAATTGAAAACTCTATTATGATTTCTTATCCTATAATTTCTGTGGTCAATTTTGAAAAAAAATTCCATAACTTCTCAAAATTTCACATATTAAAATAGGTAACAAATGGTAAAGGAGTTATCAAGAATATTGACTTGAAGACAGAATCCATAAGAGAAAAGTACATCAAAGAACCAACCTTCAGCCTTAGATAAACTGTTATTCCCAATGGACCCATTTGGGTAAATACCCATTGGAATTATCAAACAATTAACGGTGAACTTACAAAAAAATATTCACACAACAGCAAACATAGATATAGAGGAAGTAATTTGATTACTAAGAAATAAATTTCTGCATTTTTTTTTTCCACTTCTTTCTTCTTTCTTTAATTACCACTGACCAGAAAGAAAGAAAAATGCAAGGAAAATGATATACAAAGTTACAATCATACAAATCTCACAAACAAGACTTGCTTGTAAATGTGACATGCAATAATACAATTTTGGTAGTTGAAGTAAGACCAACTAAATTAACATGATAGGAGCAACTCAACTGTCTGAATAGTTTGTAAGATCTGTATGTATAGCATTACTCAAAATGCAATTAGTTTAAATGCCACATCACAATTGATAACAGTAGGAAGCAGACCAAGGACTAGAGTTGTTACAGACCAAGGACTAGACTTGTTACCAAAAACTCATATGCATACTAGCATTATAATTTGAATTTTTTCTCTTTTCTATACATTTGCACATGCAAATTTTTTTCTTTAAATTGAATGTTATCTATGAAATTATGGTTTCTTTGCTGATATTGTTTATATCAGTCATTTAATATATTCCAATTTTTGTTGATATTGGGTTTACTTTTTTTTTTTACACAGAAATGGTTAGTGGTGTCTCCCGTAAGAGACCAACGGCGTCCAACAGAAGACGTGCTAGGCAAACAGAACCTGAACCAGTGGAAGTGAATGTCCCTGTGGAGGAGGATGACCATGTGGATGCGAATAATGATTATGTTGACGACGATATTGGTGTGGAGGATGACGATGTCGATAATGATATTGGTGTAGAGGGTGACCTCATGGAGGACGATGTTGGTGTGGATGATGACAACACAGAACCAGTTCCGGGTGCTCCAGAGGATCCTTCATTGCTAATTAGCTTCCGTAACCATGTTGCTGCCGCTGTTTGGAAGAAAAAGGTATTTTGCGAATTTCTCAACAATAACTAATCATATGTACTATATGCTTCAAATTATTTATATGTTTTATGTAAAATGCAGGAACGGAGACCTCTTAAATGTTTGAATCGTTCTCGAAAGCTTGTCGAGTGGCCATGGATGTCACCAACAGTCCAAAATATTAGATGGAGACATTTGGTTGAGCAGTCTGGTCTTAGTGTCCTTATTGATCACACATATCGGCATGGCAATAGAGTGGCAATATCTGCCTTTGTTGAAAGGTGGCATCCAGAGACAAATACATTTCACATGCCAGATGGTGAGATGACTGTCACATTGGATGATGTGCGGACCATACTTGGCATTCCAATCACTAGCATGGCTTTGTCATGTCCTAAGTTAACAAGATACGAGGCTGCTGAACTTGTGAATGCTATTTTGGGAGTGCCAGTGAATGATGCATTTGCAGAATTAGTTCAATCTCGTGGGCAATCCGTGAAGCTAGAGTGGTTGCGAATTAGATTTCATTAAAGATACAAATGATGCAAATTTCATACAATATGCAACTAGAGCTTACTTTCTATATTTATTAGGTTGTACCCTCTTCGCTGACAAGAGTGGGACTCGAGTACCCGTTGTTTACTTGTATATGTTGACTGACTTTGATGTTGTTGGCTCATATGCATGGGGTGCTGTAGCTTTGGCATTCCTATATAGACAATTAGGACTTGCTAGTAGGGCTGGTGTTAAGCAGATTGCTAGTTACTTGAAGCTATTGGAAGCATGGATTTATGAGCATTTTCGTTTAGGAAGGCCTCATCCAAATTTGTCCTATTCTGATGAACAACCTTGTGTATGTCGTTGGAGTCCGCAAAGAGATGGAGGTTTTACAGAAGACCACTTGCTGACATTACGAGAGCAATTTGACATGTTACGTGCTAATGAGGTTAGACATTTTATAATAGTGTGATATTAAAAAAAAAAAAAAGATTTCCTAACTAACATTATGCATTCTTTATTTGTAGATCGAGTGGGATCCAGATCGTTTATGTAGGACACACCATCCACTTCATGAGGTTGCATATTATACTGGATGTTTGAAATGCTTTGATATTGTTGAACCCTATCACCCCAATAGGGTTTTGCGACAGTTTGGTAGGGTCCAAACAATCCCACCAGAACCATTATCTCCTATTCGAGCTACACGGGGTAGTAAACCAGGACAATATAGAATCATGTATCAATACCATGACACAATATGGGCGCAATGGGAGAATCATGTGTTGTCCATTAATGCTTGTAGTGTGCCTGTACAGCAGCGGCCATCTGAATGTGTACGGGGATACCGTGAGTGGTATGCTCGTGTTTCGCATCGAGTTGTTTAAAATCCTACACATCACTCTCAGTTTGATCCATGTGTTTAACGTCCCGAGAATGATGTTACTATGGATCCTGAGTGGGTAAGCAAATTGTGAATTACCTTTTTTCACTTTTAAGTGGTTCACCATAAATCAAACAGTAAGTACGATTTTTATCAATTTTTTTGCAATGTAATGATGCTGCTTTCAATGTTGGTGCTGCAGTCCATAGGCTCGGTCGTGATGAGTGTGTCTTGCACCCTAACATGCTGTATGAAACCATTGGTCGCATGCTGTAAGTTCTTGATGGACAGAGTTTGGGATCTACTTCGACACGTACCGAGCATCAAGTCTACTATCATAAACGTCGTAGGATAGACCATACATGAGGATTGAGATCTACTTTTTGTTTGATGGCATAATTTTGCATAATGTCTAGCCCGTATACATTTTGGGATATAGTTTTGTGTTAATCGTACATGATATTTGGGATGTAGTTTTTGTTTTTGATGGCATAGTTTTGTGAAATCGTAGCCCGTACAGAATTTGGGATCTAGTTTTTTTTGATGACATAGTTTTTGTGAATGCCTAGGCCGTACAGAATTTGGGATATACTTTTCCCTAATGGCATAGTTTTTGTGGATGCCTTGGATCTTTTTGTAAACTGGATGCTTGGTTGGACAAGTAATGAATTGTCATACTTTTGTAAGAATTTTAAACAGTTTCACATATATTTTGTATTCAATATTTGTGTGAATGGAAATTTATTTTGGCGAACATATGGATTTATTATTGTTTGTAATGCATTGTAATGGTATTAAAGTGTTTTGGAGGGATATGGTACCATTTGCTGGAAGTAATATTGTAATGGTATTAAAGTGGTTTTTTCAGTGCTATGGGCCAGTTCAGCTTCATACTGCTAAACAATTTGAATTATTCTGGTGTTCGGTTGCCGGAAACAATAGAGCCCTACAGCATTTACTTGCTATATATTTCCAGAGCCACTTTATTGTAAACATTGGGTTTTTTATTTGTGTTGAGCCCGTTCGGTAATACAATGCTAAACAATTTGAACTACTCTAGTTCTGTGTTACCGGATAAAATTTTGTTTCCCAGCATTATGTTACCGGAATAAATGGTTTTGTCCAGCCTTTTGTGGCTATACAATTACAGAGCCATTTCCTCTCAAATGATATGGTAATAATTTGTGCTGGGGCTGTTCGATAATAAAATGCTAGTAAGTTTTAATTAATCCAGTGTTGTGTTACCAGACAAACTAGTTTTTCCCAACATTATGTTGCCATACAATTGGAGAATTTTATTTTGCTTCATAACAAAGTCAGTGGAGCCCACTATGAAGTGTCTGTTCAGTCACACACTAGTAGACAAATTACATTTGTCCGGTGTTATGTTGCTGGAAAAAATATATTTGTTTAGCGATCTGTTGCTATACATTTACAGAGCCACTTTGTTATAAATAATAATTTGGGGCTGTTTGGTAATAGAATGTTAACGAATTTGAATTAATCTAGTTTGATAAAAAACATCTATAAATCAAACTCGCATCTATAAAATCAAGCATAAAAAGTTTCCATAAAATATTTCATAACAAAATCAAATGTACGAATATCCATAAATGTTTGCATCCATCAATCAAACATGTTATTACAATTCTTCTACTTCGATTGTTTCGATAGTTATTACGTCAGGGCTGATAAGAGTATGAAATTGCTAAATACGGATAGTATATGCTTTCTCCCATCCAATAGCACATGGGTGATGAAAACGAATCCAATTATTTACTATCGGGGGTACTGGATGACCAGGTTGCAGATAAACCTATAACAAAGAAATCAATAAATATAATTACAAAATAAGACATGGTAATGATGTAAGTAGGCTCGGTAGTTACCTGCACGAAATGGTTTCCATTTACAAATCCTATACAGATATCTTTTCGATCAGGTGTTGCAATCGGTACTGATCTAAGTGGTAAAAACGTCAAGCATTGTTGCATGAATAAATGGTAAATAACGACTCGATAGTATGATGCTATCAAATGGCCCATGTCGAGCATAGTCATCCAATGATTAAATCCAGGGCTAGGTTCGAAGTAGGATAAGATAGAGTTAAGTTCATCAATCCTTTCTTATGAGCCAAATAGTTGCACGTAGTGCACTACATTCGAATGCAACTCAGTCAACAAATTGCGCCTAACTTGTTGCCAATCATCTTCACCTAAACCAATCAATCCAGCTATTGCCCTGAAACCACAATTGCCATCTGCTTGTACATCTTTTATGTGACGGATATATGGTCTCAACTTCTTCGAAAATTGTTCGAAGTAAGAGATACGATTTGTTGACTGCGTCATACAAACCTACATCACAAATATACAACAATGGATATATGAAATAATTAAAATGAGGTTGGAAAACTATAAAAATATATTTTGTACATAGTTACAAGTTTATGTAATTACGTACATTATCTTTTTTTGCCTTCTTCCGTTGCACTTGCTTACGAATTGGTGCAGTTGAGATGGTAACACCCTGTGAATAATTATCTTCCTCAGATAGTACAAACTCAAATGCAGATGGCTCGCGTTTAGTAGACGTATCAATTTTGAATTGACCACGGTCGCAGCCTCAACTTCTCCCTCGCGTGTCAGTCTTGAGTTCAGGTTCCATCAAAAATGTACTGTCTGGACTAATTAACTCCCTCAACTTCTTCAGAATGATCACTTGTTGCGTCTCGTCAATTGTTTGGAATTTCTCAATAAAAAAATCAGTCTCTGTTTTGCAATCCAATTTCACAAAAGCACTTTCTAAAACTGGAAACATATCTAACTTCCTCCAATAAGGATTTACGCACGAGAGAGGAATCGGTCGACCTTGTTGAAAATACTCAGCTATTTCATGTGCACATGGCAATCCATGTGTACGTCTCAAAATGCAGCCACATGCAATAACATCTATTCCCACACTATTCGATCTCTTTGTCGCTACTAATATTTTGTCCAAACTACAAATTGAAATAAAACCATGTAACTCAGTGAACTCAACAGGCGTGTAGTTGTGTTGGACTACAATCAAACTCTGCTGAAACGAGGCTTTAATGTCTGCACGCTGCAACTCTAACAAATTGTGTATTTTGGTCCAAGATGTCTCAAAACTGCCTTGACTTAATCCAAGTTGCCTCTTTAATTTAGCATGAGAACTCTCCGCCCTACAAGTTTGTATATTTTGGTATTTAATATAAAAATCAAAGAATTATAGCAATTCATAAATGCAATGACCATAATTTACTTGTTTGTAGTAGTATTTCCGAAATGCATATTACTATCTGTCCAAGCTGCAACAAATTTTTCCTTGTATGGCTCTAACCAATTGGTAGTAACATACTTAATAGCTTCGGGATACGTGCTACATTCAGTCTTCATAGTGGAAAATTGTTCATTGAATTCTGTTTCTGTTCTAACTAATACCAAAGCACTCCAACTATGCATAAACTTATCCTATTTATTTTTCGTCTCAAAAACATTCTTGCATTTCATCAGAACATTCTTGCTAATATGCCATCTACATAAAAGATTAGTGGCCATAGGTAGAACTTTTGCTATGCCTTTCATCAAAGCCAACTCCCTATCTGTAATAACGACTTTTGGAAAAGCAGTATTCTCCATAATAGTACGCAATACGCCTAAAGCCCATGTATAGTTGTCCTCCCGTTCATGACCAAGATAAGCAAAAGCAACTGAAAAAGTCAAGTCCGTTGATGTTACCCCAACAATCTCTAAGAGAGGGAGTCGATACCTATTAGTCTTGTATGTGCAATCCATAATCAACACATGTGGAAATGCACGTAACAACTCCAAACTAACTGGGTGTGCCCAGAACAAGTCAGTCACTATCTCTCTATCATCACATCGATGGCACTCAACATAATTTTGAATCGCCAATTGCCCCAATAGTTGTTGCATTTGTGATCTTCCCGCCCTCTGTACTACTCGATGTCGATGACGTGCGTTGTAGATTGTCTTAATTGTTGTCGCATTAAAGGCATTCCTTTGTTTCAATGTAACCAATATCTCTTTTGGTCGCACCATACTCTTCGACATGTCAACTAATAAGGATGTTTCCTCTTTAGATAATCTGCCAGCAAATGAGTGCCCTTCAAGATGTTCAGCAGACGGATGATTGTGCACTCCACATAAGACATGCAACATCCACTCATCATTTGTAGGTAATTTTTCCCCCCTTAATAGAAATGGACATCCACACTTTTTAGAACCTGTCAACCTTAATCGTTCCCCCTTCATCTTTCTGTTGTCTCTATAATAACCACTTCTTTCACAAGCAAGGGTAAGGCTTGGTTTTTTGCCATTACGTCCTGCATCTGATGTCTTTATAACAATGATAAATCCAATCTTCTTTCCAACGTCAGAAGCCCATTTAATTAATGCTTGACGACTACTAAAAATTTAAATATAATAAATACATTTGTACGTCAAATTATTAATAAAACTCAATACAAATTAGAAACAAGAAAAAATTGTATTCATAAAAAAACTTAACAAACCTCGTCTGTAATGAATTTATGATTGGAGTCCACTAATAATGCAATACTTACATTGTTGCAATGAGTATAAGTACAATCCTTCCAAACAAAAAAAAATAAAAAAATTAATACATAGCAATGAGTAGCCGAACAAATTTAAAAAACCCGGCTTTATATTACCGAAAATTTATATTTTATTCGGCAATTTGATACTAGACATTTTTTTTTCGGCACTGTGATGCCGAATTATGTTATTTTGTTCAATTTCGAAACACTGAACAAAAGTTGCACACCAATCCAAAAAATCGAAACAAAAACCCATAAAATGGAACAAAACCCATAAAACTCGAACAAAACCCATAAAATCGAAACAAAAACCTACCAAACTAAAAAAAACTCACCATTTCACTTTTTTGATAGTTTTTCACCACCGTTTTTTCATCCATTGCTTTTTTTAATGATCAAAACACTATGATTATCAGTTTTTCAAAAGAGATGTCACTACAAGAATTTACACATTTTGCGACCATTTTTGCCGACCAAATATTAATTAGTCGCGAATGATCATTATTTTTGGCGACCAAATTTTATTGGTCGCAGAAGGTTATATTTTGGCGACTAAAAAATGAGTTGGTCGCAGAAAGTGGTATGCTTTTGCCGACCAACCACAAATTTGGTCGCAGAAGGTCACATATTTTTTGGCGACCAAAAATTTGGTCGCCAAAAACTTATTTTCAGCAACCAAAAAAAATTAGTCGCCAAATTTGTACTTTTAGCAACTAATAGTTTAGTCACCGTTGATTGAGATTTGGCGACTAAAATTTTTGGTAGGCGAAGGTACCTTTTCTGCGACAAATATGGTATTTTGGTCGCCAAAAATTTGGGAGGGAAATTTGATTTTTGTAGAGGCGGGAATTGAATTTTTTTTGCGACAAAAAGATTTGGTCGCCATTTTTTAAACGACGTCGTTTTGTACCAAAAAAAAAAAAAAAAAAAAAAAAAAAAAAAAAAAAAGAGTTTGCTGGTAAGAACATAATTTTTCATATTATTCAACTGTGGGTCATATAGGCATTTTTATATCACTGTCCTCTCTAAAAATTACTGAACTCTTAAGTTCATGTCTTAGGTTTTTTTATATTTTTAGTTCACAAGTTTGGATTGTGATGATGGGTTTTCTGAGAAATTTGATTTTTTATGTGGGTTATTTATGGAGATGGAAATGATTGGATTACGCTGCTATGGCTGATCAAAGTAACTTTCTAGATGCTGGAACCGCTGGTGAATTGGAGGTTCAGGATAAGACTACACTTCTTGAATGGTTTGCTAATGAGTACAAAAAGTTTGGATGCACCTTGGAGTTTGTCACCAATAAATCGCAGGAGGGATCTCAGTTCTGCAGAGGTTTTGGAGGAATCGGAGGAATCCTCCGTTATCAGCTTGATATTCGATCATTCGATGAGCTTTCTGATGATGGAGAAGTTTATGAAGACTCTGATTAGCAATCAATAAACTATTACTCCGATCCGGTGCAGGAGCATGGGGCAAAAGCCTTCACCGTGTGCGTGAGCTCTCGCCCTTCTTTCTGCTCCTTTGCTGTTGCTCGACGAGTTTCAAGTGTGTCTGATTAAGGTTAGTTTCATAATTTTTGAACTTAAAAGTTTGTAATGATATATTTAGGGCATAATTAGCTTTGATGGGTTTTGTATGATGACCACCTTTAATTGGTTGTTTCTAATGTTCTTGATCTCTCTATCTTCATTTTTTAACTTAAAAGGAGATTACAGTGTCTTTGAGCTAAAACAAGCTTAATGTGGTGGGTAAATCTTCTCATGAAAGAGTGCAACCCCTTTTATTGCTTGTAGGATGCCATTTGAAGACTGCTTTTGCTTTTGCTTTTACTTTTGCATCACCTTGGTGGTTGACTGGATCAAGATGCTGAAGATATAAATATCAATGTTTGGAACTGCGGTGAAAACCCTTTATGTGACCTTGCTCTGAAGAAGTTTATGTCCATTGAGTTTTATAATGTCTGTTTGTAACTGTTAGAAGTTTATATATTTTATGCAGAACTTTTCTATCAAACATGTTATTGTGGATAGTTCATGAGATGATTTATGGGCTTGCTATTTAGACTCGCCATGGATATAAATTTATAATGATGGAGTTGGAGCAATATCTTAATACCTGGTTAAGGTAATGTACTATTTAAGCAAGTTTATGTTTGGTTCAGAAATTTTATAAATTGAATCATTTGGTTAGAGGATTGTCGTATAAGTGGTGTCACAAATATAATTGCACCAAGCAGAACCATAGTTGCATGGATTGTGATTCACAGGCATATATATCTTTTGCTGCTCTAATTGGCTGCCATATGTTGAGAATGAATTTGTTGGAGTTTGCAGAGTCAAAGATCTAAGCGCCAAAACTGGAAATTAAAGTGAGTGACAATCTATGAACTTATCTCCTATGTAGCTTTTGTTGTGGCTTCTTTCCTCATTTAAATGTTTTCCACTATTTTTTCCCTTTTCTGTCTTTGCTCTTTAATATTGTGCCTGCTCATTGTTGCAGCGCTGGTGAGGAGGATGAAATAATTTTGAATGTAGAATGTCATTATACTCAAGCCAAAGTTGACAGCTGCATTTTTAATCTTGGAGATTGTGCACACATAAAGGTGAATGCGCCTTATTTTGGAGTATCTCTCAAACACAACTCAACCTTTCCCAGATCACTTGTCTTGCTATTGCATTGTCTTGTAACATATTTTTTTGGTTTTGATTTCTCAATAGAGTTAATAAAGTTTGAGATCATGTGGTTTTTTTGCTTGTCCCATTATCTTTAAACAATTTAAGTAACCTGATCAATTATGAAATGTTTTTCATTATTATTTCAAGAGTTCTGTAGGTCATGTTTCTTTTTTATGTAAGCTTTCATATGTTTGGATCTGCATAAAATTAAAGTATTGCCAAACAATACCTATTATCATCACTGAATTTTGGATGCATATACTTTCACAACTTATATAAAGTAGAAAATTGTGTAGCCATTTCCTTGATTATCCAGTGAGCAGGCTGACTTGCGCCAGCATAAAGATGAGAGTTTCAACAGGAGTAACTCAGATATGAGCACATGTTTTGATATGGATCATAAAGATGCTAAAAAATACTGTAGTTCATATTGATATATAATGGCAATTAGGAAGATAGAGAAGCTGAAGGGTTTCAGCATATGCCTCAGGGGATGGGGTTCTTATATTGGTCCTTTGATTTGGAGAGATGTGAATAATTGGAAGTTTTTATTGTTTTTCATGAGGGGTTGCCTTTGCAAAGCATTTGATCCATTTGTATTCTTGCACTGGTGGGTCCAATGACTTGCGCCAGCATTTAGAGGTGAGTTGGGAGATTGCTTCCTGGCCAATAAGAAATAAAATCTGTAACTTCTAATTGGCTTTCCATTCCTTTGTGGTTACAGGTTGAAGCCCATAATGGTCAAGTTAATGACCTGGCTTTTGCTTATCCAAACAAACAGCTATGTGTAGTGACGTGCGGAGATGATAAGTTGATAAAGGTGCGTGGATTGTTTTTAGGAAATTTTTTGATAGATTTATTTGTTTATTTGCTTCTTCACTGAAGGAAACATTAGAAACAGGTTTGGGATTTAACGGGCCGAAAGCTATTTAACTTTGAAGGGCACCCAGCGGCTGTATATTCTGTATGTCCTCATCAGAAAGAGAATATTCAGGTATCTAAGATAAAGGGAAATAATTTGTTAGTTGGTAACCTATTTAGCATTTAATTGATTTATAGATGCAAGTTATTTAGCCTTAAACATGCCTAGAATATGTAATTTGACATTTTTGTAAGGAAAAAAAATGAGGGGAAAAAAAAACGGTTAAAGAATTTGTTGGGTCTGATTTATTCTGATTGCCAAAATAACAACAAATCATGCATAGGTATTGATTTTTTCTTGTACTAAACATACTTGGAAATTGTATTATGACATTTTCACCAAACAATAGGTAAAAGAAGTCGGAATTTGTTGTACCCAACAGTTTCAAGAATCATATGAATCGTTTAACATGAATCGAATTGTGAATCATGTGATTTACCATCGATTCTGTCCCAAAATAGATTCACATCGATCTATGCATGAATCATGAATTGAATTGTGAATCAAATCACGAATTGTAAGATATTGATAAGATAGGTACTATTTTCAACAACCATTTTACCTCTTAATTAATGGGAACAGTAGGACGTTATTGCTGTCAGAGATAGACTTTTGTTTTGTGGAAGTTCATTTTTAAGCGGAGAACATGTTTTATTTACACAATGCTTTCCACTTGTACATTTGCAGTTTATATTCTCAACTGCTATTGATGGGAAAATCAAGGCTTGCTTTCCAGTTGGCCGAAATTATAGATCCTGCTCAATGCCGGCAGGTTACCATGCCAGACAGCATGGATGCAGTCAACAAGGTGTGTTCCTACTCATTTGTTGCTGCAGAATCTATCTATTCGATAATGCTCGACTGACACATCTACATCCAGGTTGCTCGACTACTCTATACAAATTCCGGTTTTGGTGTTTTGGCACTTGGGTCTAATGGGATTTAGAAGTTATGGAAGTGGACACGCAGTGAACAAAATCCAGGTGGAAAGGTAATAGCCAGTTGGGAGTAATTTCATTTGCATGTTTTCCTGTTTCTTTTCTTTTATTAGTCGATATTTATGGAGGAGAATTCTGAACTTGGTGAGGGTCTAAAGGCCACTGCCAATGTTGTTCCACCGCAATGGCAATGGCAGCCAATGTTGTTCCACAGAAAGGCAATTGTGTTGGTTCTTTAGCTTAAAATGTGTGCAAAGCATATAAGCTCATTATCTGTTTGTATATATGCTTCAAAGAATTGTGACAGTTGCATACTGAGGCGAAATGCAGGGTATGTTCAGCTTTATTTAGTCAACACTTGATTTCATGCACTGGATTGTGTTAATCTTTACCCATTATGTTGTTGTGAAATGTATCAACAAACTGCATTGCCACTGTAATCGATTTTGTGTGTCTTTAATCGATTTTGCATTTCTAATCGTTGCATAAGAAGCTTATTGTTTTCACTATTTGCATCCTGTGATAATTATGCTAGATGTGTGAATCAGATTCTACAGAATCTGACCAACATGCAGGTGCTAATCTTAAACCATATATCACGCATCCACTATTTGAGTCTTGCTTCATGTCTTACATTGTCTCTCCTGTTGTGTAGTCTTCGTTCTTATTATTTATTTCCATATTAAAGTTGTGGCTTAGGATTCCATTGGAGAAGTCTGATAATGATGCTATGAATGGGAACTCTGATCATTTGGTGAGTATTACTTTCACAATTGCAGTTGAAATCATATAGCTTACAAATCTACAGTTGAAGATGTCTATTTAGTCAAGCCGTTGCAGTTTGAACTTGCTGTATGTGAAATATGCCACTACCCAAAGTTGATCTTGCTTATTAGGGGTGGAGAGCTGGAGTGCATGCGTTTTAATTTTCTAATTTGTTTGAACTTAGCATATGCAAATGGAACGTTATTTTGTCACGGAATTGCTTCCTGTCATCTTGGGGTTATGCCTCACTCTTATAGTAAGGATTCTCATCCATTTTCAATTGCATCAAACCCTCTAGGACTAATTAATCAAAATAGGCTATGTAATTCAGTTAAAAAGAAAGGCATACTAGTTAGTTATTAAAATGTAGAACTGTTTGTTTCACATGTTAAATATAGATCCTTATGTACCATATCATGTATGACATATGAATTTTAGAATTCAAATGCCATTATTTGTTAATATATCGGTCGATATTAGCTGACATATCGGCAATAATGATACATAATATGGTTACCATTATTTAAAACCATGATTTATCCTTGTAAATTTGGTCAAAACACATTCAACTACATGATTGAACTAACAATTTTACTTGTGCCTAGCAGGCTGGCATAGTGTTTGGCCCCTCACTCTTGGGACATGAAGTTGTCTTAAGCTCTAGATGACCAGAAGTTACAATCGTCTGACCCAAAATTACTAGAAAAATGTTGCTAGAACAAGAACAGAGGGATGAAATTGACTGTTCAGAGGCAACTTGGACTAATAGTCTAACCACTAAAGAGGGTTTAAGTGCATCCTCAAGTGTTTTAACACAATTTGGGTAATAAATTTGCACTTAAGCATAGGTCATCTACCATAAACAAAAAAATTCTCTAAGGTCATCTACACCATAAAATAAAGATAACTACTTCAAAGATCCTATTAATCTAATCCTTATTTTCAAGATCCAATCTGATTTTACTCTTGAATTATTTATTTGCTCTGAGTTTTGCTCAATATAATATAATGACATCTGTGGCAATACTTACTCCCTAATCTACCACTGCTTTGAGGTAGATTTAGTTTCTGATCCAACAGTTTCACAGGATAACTATTATTTGTACTTGTGCAGTGATTTGTCTATAATTGCCTGATTCATTCAGAAAATATTTTGAGTGATATTTATGTACTTTTAAAATTTATCAATCTGAGAGTTGCTGTTCATGCAAGAGAAGAAGGCCTTGAGAGAAGAGAAACTGAAACAAGAGGAAACGTATATGTGGGTTAGCCTTGATGGTATCAAAGAGAAGGTTTCTGCTAGCTTTGATTTATGTATCATGCTTTGGAATTTGGGGTGTCATGCCTTGCTCTGATTTGTGAATACGAAATTTACTATTTACCTGTTAAAAACAGAAAAGCTATAATAGATATTCTGCCCCAACATCAATTCTTTTTAGTCAACTCCGAAGATAGAGAAGACTTGAGCATTCTAACTAACTTGTTTTCTGTAATGGCACCCCTTCCACCCCCCTCCCCACTGTTTCTCTCTCTCTCCCTCCTTTTATCATTTCCAAAGTTGGATATTGTACAAAAAGAAATTTGAAAGAACTACTCAAGTGAGCTGTTCACATGGACCAACTTTTTCTTAGTATATAGCACTCAGATAAGAACTCTCGGCTCTGATTATCACTTATATATTTTTGGTCGCGAACTATCACAATTGGCGACCAAACTTTTTGGTCGCGAAATGTGTCAATTGGCGACTAAGAAATTTGGTTGGCAAAAGGTGACTTTTCGCGACCAAAGTGTTTTAGCGACAAAATGAATTAGTCGCGGTAATTAAATATTTAGCGACTAAAAAATTAGTCGGCAAATTCAACTTTTGCCGACCAATGGAAAGTTTGGTCGCGAATTACTTTTGCCGACCCTCAATTGGCGACCAAACTAGCGACCAAAAAAATTGGTCGCGAATAATTTTTGCCGACCAAAAATAGACTTTTAGTGACCAATTTTTTTGTTGCTAAAAGTGTTAATTGTTGTAGTGTGTGTGAGAGAAAAGAAAAGTTGAGAAAGGAAAAAGATAAGCAGGAATTGAAAGGTCGAGGGGTGTAAGGAGATAATCAAATACATTTAATTTTAATGTTTTGTCCCTTTAAGTAATTTCACATATGGATAAAATTGGAAGACAAAAACAATCTTACATGGAGGGTGTAAGGAGATAAAATAGTGGTGTAAGTAGAATCACCCTAATTTGAATTTCATAGGTGGGGGTTCAAAGAAATGAATGGTCCAAAGTAGAAAGGTAGGAACATTTAGCACTACTCTTGAAATTTTATAGCTTGTGGTTGTTACTCATTTGCTTAGAAATATATGTTGTATGCTTGCGAATTTCTATCATCTTAAATATGCGGTACCTTACAAAATTATGTCACAGACACAAATGATCATACACAAACACAAGGTCATATCCAATGTTGTTGGGGGAAAATCTTAAAACGTTGTACTAAATTTCAAGGATTTCGCTTGCATATTGAATATTTACACCAAAGCAAGACTGTTGAAACTAATATAGCTAATATGGTGAGATTTTTTTTAATGGGAATTCTCTTCATTGTTCTAAATTTATTTTGTAACCTTTTATTTTTTCTAATTTTGTTTTGTAGATTTATTTATATGTCTAGTGAATAGACTATGCTGTGCAATTTTGGACACTTCTCTCATAGTCAATGCATATAATCCAAACTCCCTAACATTCTACAAAGCCCTCCTCCCCTTTCCATAAGGAAATGTCTCATTGGTTTGTTGATCTCAAGTATTGTTCTTCATAAATGTGAATAACACTTCGATTAAAAACTCAATTGTTGTAATTTCGTCGATTCTCGTATACTCATCCACAACGTCAACGAGCATGCCATATGCAAGAATTTTAATTGTCATAGTCTTTTTTTGTAGACCAAATAACTTAGCCATTAAGGGCATAATTTTCGAACAAAGTAATCATCATCATATTCTTGAATTTCCAAAAGATTACAATCAAGTAAACCAGATCCTTAAAAACATCATCTCTAATTAATCGATCATTATTGGAAATTATATAAGATGTGTCATCGGCCACTTATAGAACTAACATATTTCATTGGTTACATTGTGGGTGTATGGGAAGTGGATTTTTTTTAAGCTTTTTGACATTTTGGTTATTTTAGTAGACTATTTTAGTTTGTGTGTTCGGGAAGATATGATAGATTTTTATTTGAGTTGTTGTATTGAGAAATGTGTTTGAAATGATGTTTAAAGCTGAAATGACAAATTTGTGCATAATCTCACTTTTTCCAAAATTTGTCTAAAGGGGCAAAATTGTCATTTACTATATGTGCCTACACTATACCTACA